GCTCGGTGGCGGAGATGGAGGTGAGGGCAGAGGCGGCGGCGGCCATAGTTGTTGCCAACGGCGTCTTCAGTGGTGGCAAACGGCGTCCATCAAATCCCTCCCTCATCCCTTCAACCAAATAAAAAACTGCGATCGTCCTATTCTATAAACCAAACACGTAAGTAGAATCATCCCAACCTCAAAATAATGGATGGTTTCATCCCATCCTATCTAGTTTTAGAACCAAACACTACCTTATTTTCGGAACAACTGAATATGGATATGGACCGTGTACGCGCCCGCCGCACACTTGCACTCCCCGCCGTTGAACAGTCGGAGTGTAAACTTTAAAGAGCGTTGAGCGAGCTGTAAAAATTAGCAAGTGACGGGGAAGTAAAGTACCCACGGTACGGTAGCTGAGGAGACACAAAATGTCTTCGGATGCCTGAACCTTACAGCAGTGCGCAGTTGTGCTTGTGCACCAACTCGTGTGAGTCCTTTTGGTGCCTGACCACGAGTAAGGTGTTTTAGTTTTTCTTAATTTAAGGGAGTAGCTATATTTGTGACGTCATATTTTTCATCAAAAAATAATTAGCATGTATTTACATTGTAAGTCCCTAAATTACATATGTAAATTTAGTGTATTTATAATGTAAGTTTCAAAATTACATATGTAAGTCTAAAAATTACACAGTAATTATATGTGTAAGTGGTGTGTAAGTGGGATTTAAGTGGGGTGTAAATTTGTATAAAGTATAGTATGCATGCGTGTAAAACCTTGAACTAATGAAGACGTTAAGCTTTAATTAATCAATTAATCATGTTGACAGCCTCAACGTTAGCCTGCCATAGCAATATGCACGGACAGGATCGCATTGACACGGGATAAAGGAAATCGGACGCTTCAAAACGCCGACTGTGATGGAGGAGAAAATGTGTCGATACAATTCTAGCAATTTCGTAATTTAATCAGTATAAGATCCGGTACCAACAGGCATTAGCTGATGGCCTGGTGTCGATATGGTGCCAACATAGGATAGAAATATGACACCTTATAGTACTATTTAACAAATATAGTAAGGCCCTGTTTATCCAGGGATGAAAAGTTTCGACGTGTCACATAGGATATAGACCGCCTGTATTAAACGTAGACTAATAATATAACAGATTAATAATATCCAGGGATATACAGATACACATTTAAAGTATTAAACGTAGACTAATAATATAACAAATTACAGATTCCACCTGTAAACTACGAGATGAATTTATTAAGTCCAATTAATCTGTCATTAACAATTGTTTATTGTAGCACCACATTGTCAAATCATGTAGCAATTAGGCTTAAATGATTCGTCTCGTAATTTACACGTAATTTGTGTAATTAGTTATTTTTTATTTATATTTAATACTCCATGCATGTGTCTACACATTCGATGTGGCAGGATGAAACTTTTGCCAGGAGATCTAAACAGGCCCTAAATATTTCTGGTTTGTATACATGCTTTTATATTGTATTAACAGTACCTAAGTAGTCGAGATACTCTGTATTCCTGTTGAATTGTCTTAAAACAATGAGAAAATCTATCCTGTATCACTGACTTTGCCCTGGAACCACAATCTGCCACTGACTTTGTTCAGTTCCATACTATGCCATCGCTTTTTGTTTAACTTCTATAATTTACCATCGCCGTCAAGTTAGCCTCCGTTAGTACCATACAATTTTGTTCTAATGACAAAAATACCCCTAAGATGAAAACTTTCAGAATTTGGTTGAAAATTCACAAATATCATACTGTAACATGTTACAGAGGTTGCCCGGCTCATTTTCTTCTATGATGATACATGATTATCTAAGCATACATATGATTGTTTTAGCAACTTGTTTGACGGAATGTTGCACTTACAAAAAGTATATCTCTGTGTATGTGTGTAGGTTCAAAGCAGGTTAATTAGGTACATGATTCCCATGCATACATGTACGAGTGCGAGCACCTGCCGGACTTTTGGTCGTCGCATCCCTGTGTACACTTAATTAGAATTCTATCAATACGTACGTATGTATGCGGTCGCCACGGGCTTGTGTACCACGGACACAGCCTGCAGTGCACGTGTACTTCTGGCCGTAATTGAGGCGGGCATGAAAATGAAAATAGATTGGGTTAATTTTAGGATTTTTGTTCAGGGGTATTTTGGTCATTAGTATAAAATTGTACAGTGCTAATGGAGACTTAACTAACGGCGATGGTAAATCATAGAAGTTAAACAAAAAGTGATGATATATTATGGAATTAAACAAAGTCAGTGGCAGATTGTTGAACTAGACTAAAGTCAGTGGTGTATAGTAGATTCTCTCTACAATCCCGTTGAATTTCTGAGAAAAAAAATGTTTCGCTCCAAATAAAGCCGGGCTCCTTATGGTTTGTGGAGATGATCCGCTCTCTGTTTAAGCATCTTCGTACAATGAAGAGGGATTAGAACCCAATTGAAAACATGATCAAACATCAATTGACGGGTGATTGATCAATTCAATTCCAAGAGTCCAAACAGATAATTCGAGTGCTGAGCTATAATTGCAAACATACTTTTCCGATGTGCAGACGATAATTAAGTCACACTGTGCACTCAAACTGTACTCCCTCCATTTAAAAAAACGAATCTATTATTATATGACACCACATAATACAACAGATTTAAACAAATATATATTACATATATTATTAGGTTGATTTTTTTTAGAGTTAATTGTATATTGGACCACTAATATTTACCTTGGTTGCACATTGGACTAGAGGTAAATCTATCTTTTCACATTGGGCCTGCTAAATCTACAATAGTTATATATTGAACCGGTATTCTTCTCCAACTCTCTTCTCCGTTGAGTTGAATTGTACCCAATTTGTAAAGTCTCCATACCTGTCATCTAGCTCAAGGTCGCTACCACAAATGAGCAAGGCTCTGGGAGACCAGGACCTTGAGTGAGCTGCTGCCGGCTGGCGATCAAGCCCCTGCCCTACGCTGCATCAAGCTCGACCTTGCACTGGAGCTACATTGAGCGTTGCCTCGTACTCGAGCTCACTATTGGCGGTGAGCAGACCATCCAGATCGCGCCACCAATCTAGCTTGACCTCCTCCGATCCCTGCCTGCGCACTGGAGCTCAAGTTTGAGCTCGACCTTCGTCAGCTCTGGCCACTCGGTCGATCTCGCTCGCACCCATCCCTGCATCAAGCTCAACCCTCCTGGTCCTGCAATCTCTCAAGCTAAACCTCCATCCAACAAGCTGTTGCAAGGGAGAAGTTGATGGTGAGTAGCTACGATTAGGTTGAGTAAGCGTTGCCTGAGCTCCTTCGTAGATATCCGTCCCAAAAAGACTCAATTCTTGGGTTTCCGTGTTCAATGTTTGACCGTCCGTCTTATATGAACTTTTTTTATGATTAGTATTTTCATTATTGTTAGATGATAAAATATGAATAATAATTTATGCATGACCTACCTATTTAAATTTCTTCAAATAAGACGAACGGTCAAATGTTAAATACTAGAACCCAGAAATTGAGTTTTTTTTTTGGGACGAAGGGAGTATCCGTTAATTGTTGGCCACCAGTGTTCGAGAGAGATAAGGGATACTGACACTGACTGACATGTGGGCCACTAGTGTTAAGTGAATTTTTGGTAATAATACCTAGCCCAAAATGAAAAGTTGTGCTACCACCCAGTTCATCATGCAACAAAGGTAATAAAAACTAGTCCATTATAAAATTTACTCTTTTTTATAGGACAGAGTGAGTGGAGTACCTAGAGGGAGTACCTAGTACTCCCTTCATCTACTTTTAATTGTCATATTTCCAAATCTGAAAATTTTATTTTTGATAGGTATATTTCAATTCAAGAACTTATCATCTTAATAACTTTCTCGGATTTAATACGTGACTCTCCATTCTTCCATACAAGATTAGCTACATGGGCATCGAGACATGTAAATATTAATGAATCGTTTGTTTACGAGGAGTAGAATTACTTATCCTTCATCTGTGTGTCAGGATAAAATATAACAATCAAAAATAGATGGAGGGAGTAGCATCTTGCAAGAAAACAGATCAGTGCTACCTATGGACGCATTGCAGCACTCCTAGACAGGCTAAACCTCCCGTACGTCATGCTTCACACAAATCTTCGGTCGAATCTACTCCTATATGACTGCACATGTGCTCGTTAGTCTCACACTTGACCCGAGAAAGACCAGCTAGATACAGTACTACTAGTCACTGCCCAAGGCATGTCTGCGTCTCCCTCTTGGACCATGTACTAGCTCCCCTTGGTTGGACCCCTCGGTGCTGTGTACTCACTCCGTCAAAAAAAAAAAAAAAAAGACAAATCCTACTTTCCGTATCCAATGTTTGACCGTCCGTCTTATTTAAAAAAATTATGAAAAAAATTAAAAAAATAAGTCACGCATAAAGTATTAATCATGTTTTATCATATAACAACAATAAAAATACTAATTATAAAAAATTTTCATATAAGACGGACAATCAAACATTGGCACGAAAACCCACGGTTTGTCTTTTTTTAGGACGGAGGGAGTAACTTCTGGCAAGTATCACAGCCTTTTCGGGGTTGCACATGCGAGCCTTTACGACTATCCCTACTTCTCCATGGGCAGGAATAACTTTAGGGCTTATTAGGATCACGGTACTGCAAAAACGTAGGAGTAGAAAAATCGTAAGAATATGATAGAAATATATGTGTAAAACAGAGGATTGAAAAACACAAAAATTCTGTAGATAGGATTGGTAAATATGTGTTCGGATAGGCAGAGGAAAAACATAGGAAATGGAAAAAATAAGATACGAGTGGATGGAAATTTTCCTTTGTTTCTCTATTGATTCCACATGAAAGGAATTTTTCCTCTTATTTTCCTTTGGGTTGATTCCTATGGACTGAATGTCAGGAAAGGAAATATTTCCTATATATAGTATTCCCTTGAAAATCCTTAAAAAATCCTTCCATCCGAAGAGGCCCTCAGGAGGTTTTGGCGCTGGACCAACTGACGTACTAGTACTAGTCACGTAGTAGTTCCCCGCTTCCCACTGAGCAATCACAATTCACACACGAGTGAAGTGAAGTGACGAAGGGAGGACTCAGGCGAGGATGCAAAGATATGGTAAATAGAGGGAGTACGTTGCTAGTGCCACTGTTCTTTCTCGCTGATGTATTAAACCCGATCGATCGATGCATGCAGTGGTGGCCTTTGCCTGGATTCGGAGAGAGATCTGACGCCGCTACAGTGGCCAGTGGGAGGGCTACAAGACAGCTGTGAAGCCGAACCGTCCCTTCGCGTCGCGGCACCGGCCGGCTTCGACTGACCCTGCCTTCCAGCTTCCTAAATCTGGCCGGCTGATCAGCCTCCGCTCTACAGCTGCTGCCGCGGCGTGCGGCTTGAAAAGGAGCTGGTTTTTGGGGGAGGCGCCAATGGCGAGCTCGGGGGGGAGGTGGAGGCGGAGCGGCAGTTCCATGCTAAAGCTGGTGGTGGCCTTGTGCTTCTTCGCTGTGGCCATCTCCCTGTGTTGCGTCTGCCTCAGCTCGGGTTGCGGTGGCAGTGGCTGTGGTGGATTCAGGCGGCGCGCTGTGCTGCTCCGTTTAGGTAATGAAATTCAGCGAGCTGCATCCTTCTGCGCACTTGTTTACTCCATTTTGGTATTCTCCAGTTCACTGGCTAATTCTGGCCACAACCTGCTTGTTGGGTGTTTCATTTCGTTTGGTTCTGTATGTTTGTCGTCGTGGTTCATATGTTCACTGCTCATGCTGATGCGAGTTCTTCGTTTCTGAAATTCAATCTGGATAAGTTCATTGCAGGCTTTAAGTTGAAAATACTGCTATAATGTTTTTGTTTCACTGTATTACTCCTATATCGGTACCATATAGTATATCGGTTGAAATGTTCAAATCACTCTGTAATAATCCGTGTTATCGTGTTTTCTGCAGATTTCCGGACACGAGCAACAGCATATTTTGGCGCTAATCAGGTGAGTTTTGCATCTCCTCCCCCTTGCTATCCACTCTACATGCCCGCTACCATAAGTTCGCATCGATCAATGCAGTTCAACTTCAAACTGCAAAATGATGAAACGACGCGATTTATTGTTGTTTATCTGGCCCTCAATCATCTTTCATCAGTTGTTGATTCGCGATCGATGACAAGTCGAAATCAACACAGAACACTAGGCAACCTCACAGGGTCCGCAATGGCAGTCCCCATTAGCGCGCACAGTCACGGCCATGAAAGCTGGCGTCCTTCTCCGACAGCCGTTCAACGCCGGCGGTCCCATCGCCTTTTGACCATACGTCTCTGCCGATCGATGCGTAGTAGTACATCCAAACGTAGCACGCCGGCACGCCGCGCGTCACAGCGATACGTGAAAACGGTGAAAGGTTGAAGGACGGTGATACGTAAATCCATTGTGTTTTGTGTTGTAGCAGGATCACAGCTCGAGCGGGCGTCGATGGCGGCGGCTGCTGGCGGAGGGCCCGGGGTCGTACCCGCCGCGGTGCACGGCCAAGTGCGGCGCCTGCGTCCCGTGCTACCCGGTGCACGTCGCCGTGCCGCCCGGCGTCCCGGTCACCACCGAGTACTACCCGGAGGCGTGGCGGTGCAAGTGCGGCAACCGGCTCTACATGCCATGACGGGCAGAGCGTGCACGGCGGGGTGACGCTCCGGTGGCGAAGCGATTTGCGCGAGGGTGGCGCGCGGTGGCCGGTGGGCGTGCCGGGCCGAGGTACTAGCACAGTACAGCAGTGCACTGCTGCCCGATCGAAGCGGCCGTCGCGCATGGGGCCGTTTCATTATTGCGATGCGGGCCGGGAGCACAGTGGCAGTGTGGACTGTTGCCGCGCCCGCGCGCGAATCGGGTGGAGGCGCGCGTGATGATGGCCTACTGGGCTGCTGGGCTCTGGAATTTGCGCGGCCCTACCACGAGGAGCGGTGGCATGGGGTTGTACGGCGCGTGCTGCAAAGGGAAGCGAGAAGGGGAGCACGAGGCAGTTGCTCGCTGCACGTGTCCAGGCAATCTGTTGATATGTTTTGGTTCTTCCTCCTTGTCCATTTGGATTTGGATCTTCGAAATCCCATTTGTATCTTTGTGAGAAATGATAGTCGTTATAGGCCATTTATGTTAAATTTCAGCATTATTCTTACCGGGCTTCAACAGCATACATGAGTACATGACATGTGTTGGTTTCTTCTAGCAGCATGGAACAGTTGGAAGTGTTTGTTTAGGGTATGATTGTGAAGTGCTCGACGTTCAATCATGTTAGTGTTTTACGTTTGGAGAACGAAGAAATGAGTGTTGCTGTTTGGTGTGTACTTGTACGAGACCCTCACATTTGAAGGCCCATCAATGTTGCTGGTACCACCCAGCCCAACTATTGATGATAGGAATAAGTTCACTGGAAATCACTACATCTAAACTATCACAAACCGTGCCAAAAAAATAAAAAAGGTCCCGAGCAGTATTGACCTAATTTTTCTCCTGTTTTGCTGACGTGGTATACATGGACCCCACATGTAAGTGAGAAGGAAAAAATATGGGGTCCGCATATCCTTTTTTCTCTTCTCTTTCTCTTCTCTTTCTCAGCGAGCTGGAAGGCTGGGAGGCCGCCGCTGGCTGAGGGCAGAGCGGCGGCGGGTGGCACTTTGTTGCGATTCGCATCATTCCATGCAACGGCACGGCCTTAGCCTCCATCATCCCAACACCATGCATCAGCGTAGCCTTGGCCTTGGCGGTAGCGGGAGCCGCGCTGGTCATCGTCGTTGGTGGTGGTTGCGGGGACGTCAGGGTGCGCGAAGACGCTGAGGTAGACAACGGATGCGAGTTAGCTCACGACGGTGGAGAACTCATGGTCGCCGAGGGGCCGCTCCCTATCGCTGCAGAGGAGCAGGCCGCAACATCGGCACGCCCTCGGCCTCGGCGGCGGGTTCTTCGTCGACCTCCTCCGTCCCATCCCAACGCAAGCCGAGGCGGCGCTGCTGTGGCTGCGGACGATGTCAACGTAGACCTCGACATCTTTGTGAGAGAGCTCGCGAAGGTCGGTAGAGCTGTTGTCACAGAGGATGGCGGTGGCAGCGATAGCTCCCCCGACGCCATCCCACGGTGGCAGCTCGCTCGCCGCCCCTGACCGCTATGCACCAGTCTCCAGCCTCGCCCAAGAAGAGAAGAAAGGAGAAGAAAGAAAAAAGAAGAGAAAAGAGATGCGGACCCCACATATTTCCTTCTCACTTACATATGGGGCCCATATATTCCACGTTAGCGAAACCGAAGAAGAATTGGATCGATACTGCTCGGGACTTTTTTTTTTTTGCACGGTTTGTGATAGTTGAGGGCTATAGATAACCCGACGCGAAGTTGAGGGACGGCTGTTGAACTTATTCCTGCGGATAAGGATTACTTTGATGGGCTAAATCCTATCGCGTGCGATACACGGATCTGATGTCCTTGCATTTTCAGCCCATTTACTATCTAGAAGAGGTTGATGCCTTGATGGCCTTTCTCTCCCCATGGCCACGATCCGACGAACCCTGTTTTCCTACCACAAATAGGTCGGATGGCCACAGACGAATTGTGACGATGGTTCGTGGTAGCATACTATACGAGTACACACGACGCATCAAGGTAGTGGCTATAGAGAGGCACACGACAAAACGTCACAGCTATACAACAAGAGATGGCAACAAGCAACGCCAATAGATGGCAGAGCCGTTGCCTGCTTTTTTTTTTTCTGGCCTTGGTGGGAGATGATACATTAGATACGACGAGGGAAAAAAAAAACAACAAACAAGCCAACCAACGAAAGCGTAGGAGGCTAGGAGCCGTTCCGCCACTGAAAGAGCACGGATGACGCACTAACCGGCGGCGGGGCAGACGTGACGCTCGTATTAGCGACCCGGCACGCGGCGCCCTCTTGTCCGCCCAGCGCGACACCGCCCTCTGCCCTCTCGCGAGTTACGTGAAAGCGCCCGCGGGCCTCTCGCGGTCGTCCGTTGAGGTGGCGTGGAAGCCACGAACGGTGGAACGCGCGACAGCTCGCGCTCTTCTCCCCCCATCGTCGTCCGTTCCTCGTCAGCGTCGAGGGTCGCGCTTTCGTTTACTCACGCATTCCGACGAACCAGCCGTTAACGACCTCGGCCTCGACCCTTGTATTCCGGATGATTTACCTTGCTGCCATCGCTCTTTTTGCGACCTGATTGGAGTAATACCCGGACCCCAACGGCAAGAATTGATAGTTTGAACAGCATACAGCAACAGTCATTGGCCAAAACCTCTCATCTTTTTTGCTTCCTCGTACTCCGTTTCCGTTCTGGGAGAAGCCCAGCGAAAATCTCACAATTGGGCCATGGGCCAGGCAGCCAGCGATATTTACCTGTCCAAAGCCTACGCATCCGCAGCACAACCACCCCCAGAATCCCGTGGAATCAGTCGAGATTAGGGGCAAAAACGTGAGAAAAGCCACCCGTTTCCTCACCGCGACAGCTAGACGGCCGCGCACTACCTGCCTGCCTCCTAGTAGTGGGGGAGCGCGCGGCGCGCCGTCGTATAACCTCGCGCTGAGAGCGGAGCGGAATCGGAAGATCCCGAGGGGTCAAGCCACAAAAGTTCGGCGCCAACCGTGAGGAAGAAATCTGAGAGCGCCGGGCAGGCGGAGCAGCATAAACTAGAACGGAGGAAGCTCCCGCGGCGGAGAGGAAGCGGCGTCCATTTGCTGTCCGCGAGGTCGTGCCTGATCGGTTCAGATGGGTTCGTCTGCGGTTCGCTGCCCGTCTTCGTCCAGTTCCTGATCAGGTATGGTCCTTCTCCCCCCCGAAGAGATCTGCTTGTCGTCAGATTTCGATTCCACTGCGACTGGGTGGAATTTGTGCGATTTAGTGTTTCCTATTGAGTGTAGGCAACTGATGATCTGTCAGAACGTAGTCTCTGTTAACATCAAGTAGGAATTCGCCACTACTTTTATTTTTCAGAATCCAAATGGGGACATTTCGTCGCAATCCAATCGTTCAACGTGTACTTTGATCGCCGATATGTGCTTCCCGCATTTTTAGGTTGATTGACAGCATTAGGGCATCCGTCCGATAGTCTGTCTGGGTTGGTGCTGAAGTCATATAATGAAATTGGGGGTGACATACCTGTGATGTTTGCCGGTGGCTCTTATAACAGTACTAAATTACCGTGTAGCATTTGAGATTTTAACATCCATTTGGATTTGGATTACATTTCCTGTGTAGGTGTACTAAAATTCAGTTTGTTCTTTCTAATGACAGCTCTTAACAGGCAGAGGACTTGGGAATGCAGAAAGATGTGCTTGCACGACAGGAAGTTAATATTTCGTGCAAACAAGATCCCAGCTTGGATCAAGCCGATGTTGCTGGACCTTCATGTGAATGTGCTGCATAGTGATACCGTGCTGCTTTTCCGTGTTTTGAAGCATAGTAGATTGAAGGACTCCAAGTTTGTTGATCATCACATTGACGACGACGGATAACATCTGCTGCATTCATTACCTATACTTTGTAGATACTTCTATAGAAGTGGTGTGGTGGTGTTTGCTCATTTTGTTGTGTTCCAATAACTTGATATGATGGATGGGAGGTCAATCTTGATGGGCCGTTATGAGGTTGGGAAGCAATTAGGACAAGGAACATTTGCAAAGGTGTATTATGCACGAAATCTTACTACCGGCCAAGCTGTTGCCATAAAGATGATCAACAAGGATAAGGTCATGAAAGTTGGGCTAATGGAGCAAATAAAGAGGGAGATTTCAATTATGAGATTGGTGAAACATCCAAATGTTCTTCAGTTATTTGAGGTTATGGCTAGCAAGAGCAAGATTTATTTTGTTCTGGAGTATGCTAAAGGTGGTGAGCTTTTCAACAAAATTGCTAAGGAGGGAAAGCTCAGTGAGGATTCTGCGAGGAGATATTTCCACCAATTGATCAATGCAGTTGACTATTGCCATAGTCGAGGTGTTTATCATCGTGACTTAAAGCCTGAAAATCTGCTCCTGGATGAGAATGAAAACCTTAAAGTCTCAGATTTTGGTTTAAGTGCCCTGGCTGAGTCCAAGAGGCAAGATGGTCTCCTGCATACTACATGTGGAACTCCAGCTTATGTTGCTCCTGAAGTTCTTAGCAGGAAAGGCTATGATGGTGCAAAGGCAGATGTATGGTCTTGTGGAGTAATTTTGTTTGTGCTTGTGGCTGGTTACCTTCCTTTCCATGATCCAAATTTGATAGAGATGTACAGAAAGATTTGCAGAGCAGACTTCAGATGCCCTCGTTACTTTTCTGCTGAGCTGAAGGATCTTATACATAAAATCCTTGATTCAGATCCAAGTACTAGGATTTCTATCCCAAGGATAAAGAGAAGTACTTGGTACAGAAAACCAGTTGAAATAAATGCTAAAAACAGTGAGGCAGCCACAACAAACAGCATCTCTTCAGGTGTAGCTACAACCTCAGGTTCTGCAGAGTGCAGCACTTCTGAGGAAAATCAAGGGTCCTTAAGCCTCCCAAACCTGAATGCATTTGACATAATTTCTCTCTCAACAGGGTTTAATCTATCTGGGTTTTTTGAGGATACGCATGGTCACCAGGAAGAACGGTTTACCACTAGGCAGCCTGTGACAACAGTACTTGGAAAGCTGAAGGAATTGGCCAAACGCCTGAAACTAAAAGTTAAGAAGAAGGATAATGGAGTTTTGAGATTGGCAGCACCAAAGGAAGGAAAGAAGGGCTTTCTTGAACTTGATGCAGAGATTTTTGAGGTCACCCCTTCATTCCTCTTAGTTGAGTTGAAAAAGACCAACGGGGATACTATGGAGTATCGAAAGCTGGTCAAAGAAGATATAAGGCCAGCACTCAAGGATATTGTTTGGGTGTGGCAAGGTGATGAGCACCTGAACTCACAATCTATCCTGCAAGGAGAGCAGCAGCAGTCCCCATTGCCACCAGAGCTACCACAGGATCAGTTGCAACCATCATTGCCACAACAGGAGAAGCAGGACATGCCTGAACCACCGTTGTTGCCACAAGTACCACAAGAAGAAGTGCAAACATCTATCCCCGCAGAACAAACAAAGAATTAGTTTTAACAGCCAACTGGTAATTCAAATGTTCTTGTCATCCATGTTTGTATCCTTCTTTTATGTCTTTGCTGCTTGTTTCTAATTCCTCTGGAATTGCAAAGCTGTACCTGTTTGTACAGAAGTGCAATGCACTTCAATTTTGGAAACTACAAAGGAACACCTCCGAGTGTTACTCCTGAATTTTCGAAAGAGAAACAATCATTGATGAGAAGTATTGAACCGTAGAAGTTTTTGGTGATGGGGACGTCTTTGGATTTTTCCCTCTTCACTGTGAACAGTTTTGGAGTTTTGGTCTTTGGTTTTAATGAGCGTATTTTAGGTTTGTTGAAAATTTTGTTGACTGGTCCCTTTATTTCTTCCTTGGATAGCCGTCTACTCGCTTATGTCTGTCATGGACTGTTTTCAATAAGAAATCAATTCAACATTTTTGCAAGTGAATCCACATAACTAGCTTTCTTTCTTATTCTAGGTGGCTGTTCTTTGCAAAGGAGAATCGACATTATATTATTTCTATACGTAGAAGTGATTATAAATCCGAGGAAGAAAACATACTAGTAGGTTTTACTGAAAATATCCATGCTTTTTGATTGTTTGAGAAAATCTCATGTGGTTTTTTAAGAGGTTCTGAACATCATACATTCGCAGTTTTTTTATGTAGCAGAAACCTTTATTACCTCATGAAGAAATCTCTACAATGGTCAGAATTTCAAATACATTTTCTATTTAGCATCTAGATTTCCATCATCTATGTGAAGCAGGTCAACGCCTCAACGGGGAATCACAATGACCATTGGTTGGTCCATTGGTTGATGATGAAACCTTTCAGGTTTCCTGTGAGCTTTCGGAGAAGACCCTGCTCAAGTCTCCCCACAACAGACTAGCATTGTAGTCAACGGGGATCCCAACTCTTAGAAAAGCTCCGGTAAGCCATTACACAAGATCATTTTAGTGCACCCATAGACCCACTCTCTCCTTGCTGGCATCGACGGGCGCAGAAGAACTGATTCGATCTATATTTGCAACATGAGCGGGGAAGTCGAATTAGGACAGCCGTTGCGGGTAATTACCTTGACCTCTCTTTTAAGTTCCATTCTTGTTGCTCCAGTAAGGAATGCCTAGGCTACGGACAATTTAGAGACTAGATTTCCTATAACAATGGATATTGCTAATCAGTATGTTGTGAGGTACAATTTCCATTACAGCATATCAATTTCACCATGTAAATGCCATGTTTTTTCTTTGACTTCCCCTGTTGTGCTTAATTTGGTGGGGAATAAGACTGAGCCGTTGTATGTAAGGATTATGAATCCCTAATTGTTGGCATCTCCTGTCGATTTCTTGCACTGTCCGCAGTTGCGCATCGTCTCAACTCGCTAGTCTAATGCCTTGCTGAAGTTGGTTGAAGACTTGAATGGATTGCCCTTTGTTGATGTGCTGACTTTCCATGCATTCCCGTACTGTTTGCAGCCCCCAGATTCTGTACCAAGTACAGGAAGAGACGAGGAAGAAGGGTCGTCGCACCATGGAAATGGCTCAGGCGCAGCCAGAGAGAACCCAGAGAACCCATTGCCGGACCTGGCGCTGGCGAAATCCGAGTCAGACCGGATAAAAGCCTTTTACCAGACGGTCCTCTCGGCCATTGTCGTGTTCATCGTGGCGGCGCTGTCAGGATACAAGGACATGAAGCCGCTCTACTCGACCACAAATCACAAGAAAGTTCACCTCAGCAACCTCCTTGTCATCGAGGGGTTCTGCATGATTGCTACCTTCATATGCGCGGCTGTTTTGATGATGTACGAGTTCTACACGTACCACCATGAGATCGCCCGCGAGGTCGTCGCAGGTGCAGGGACCTCACCGTCCTCATCGCGGTCGCCGGAGCGATGCTGGTTGCGACGGACACGATCCTCGTCGTCATCGCCAACAGGGACAACGCGGTGTTCGCCGTTCTTTTCGTGCCGGTGCTGCTGTTAGTCGGCATGGCTGTGTACACCGGAGCATCGATGGAGGAGCAGCCGCCGAACTCGCCGCACGACGGCGGGTACGATGAGGCAACCAAAAGCACCTTTGATCTGGCCACCGTTAGTACAATGGCTGCATTGGGTTTGCAGGGGACCATCGTCTTCGGCTACCTGAAAACGCCCGAGAAGAAGAGCGAACATGATGACCCTCCACTGGACCTCGCCGTCTGCTACATCGCCTCGACGGTCTGCCTGACCGTCATGGCGGTTTGCGCCATCCGCTGGCTCTTCTCCCCGAAGAAAAGCGGAAGGCTCTGGTCGGAATCATCGGCAGCCTCAGGCACGTCCTGCTCGCCTCTCTGGCGCTGATGGCGGTGGTTGTCTCCGTCGAGTTCTTGGACGGCTTCGTCGTGCTCTCCGTCTGGCCGGAGGCCGTCGCGCTGGTGCTGTACTACGCGGCACAGCTCTGCTCGGGGCGGCAGCCCGGGGGAGGAGTCGGGAGCCGGCCATGGATCGAATTTGTCTTCCGGATTGTCGCCACCGCCGGGTTCACGCTCATGGCCGGGCTGTACGCGGCGTTCCTCGGGACCAACCACTACAGCGTGTACCTCAAGGCCGCCATGCTCGTGCTCCTGATGGCAGTTCTCTCGAGCCTCAGCCGTCTGGCGAACCCGGTTTACATGCCCGAGATCGACGGAGCTCTCCTTGAGTTCTGCGTCGCCGGCGTGGCGCTCGCCTTCCCCGCCGTGTCGCTTCTGGTTGCTTGTCCCTTGGTGCTTAAGGTCTTCGTTGACCTATATATTCATCATAGTTCTCTTTGAACCAAGGAGGTGGGTGGAACCATGGTACTCCCTCCAGCCCATAATATAAAGGATTTTGAGTTTTTGTTTGAACTGTTTGACCGCTCGTCTTATTCAAAAAATTTTAGATTTATTATTTATTTTTTGTGACTTACTTTATTATCCAGAGTATTTTAAGCACAATTTTTCGGGTTTTATATTTACATAAATTTTTTAAATAAGATGAGTGGTCAAAGAGTGCAATAAAAAACTCAAAATCATTATATTATGGGACGGAGGGATTAGGTTACTAGGTTTGGTGAGGCCGTGAGGTTTCCCATCTGCTTGCTGTTCGGACATAGAGCAAGGATAACATTAGCAAGACATACTCCCTCCGTCTCAAAATATAATAACTTTTAGCTCTCCGGATTTGTCCCAAAATATAACAACTTTTCTAGCAATATTCTCTTCCCACTCAATCACAACCCTTCACCATTCACTTTTCCCACCTATCTTCACTACTCATTCAATCACAACCCTCCACCATTCACTTCTATCTACTTTTTTAATAACCGTGTCTAACTCTAAAATTTCTTATATTCTGGGATGGAGGAAGCAACTAAAAATGTAGAGCGTTGTTCTCATGTAATAACAATCTACATTTGCTCCGTGATACATACATTTTAAATCTATTAACTTATTAAAGGAACAGAAAAAGGAGCATCCATGTTCGCTCTCACGGCCTAGAAATTATCATATTAATTGAAGAAATAGAAAAACAGAGTCCATGTAGAAATACAATTTTTAAATAGTTGAAATTCGGAATTAAAAAATAAGGAATATTGAAAGAGGAGACTAGACTCCATATAGAAATACAATTTATAAATAACTGAAATTCGGAATTAAAAAATAAAGAATATTAGAAGAAGGGTATAGAGTCCATATAGAAATACAATTAAGAAATAATAGAAATTTGGAATTAAAAATAAGAAATACTTATAGAAATACAATTAAAAAATAATATAAATTCGGAATTAAAAATAAGGAATATTAGAAATAGAGTATAGAGTCCATATAGGAATTTAAAACTAACTAAAATTCGAAATAAACATAATAAAATTAAAAGTAGAGAATCCATATAAGAATACCATTTAGATGTAACTGTAATTCGAAATTAAAAATTAAAGAATATTGAAAGATGAGTTTAGAGTCCACATAGAAATACAATTAGAAATAATAAAAATTCAGAATTAAAAATAAATAATATAGGAAGAAGAGCCTAGAGTCTATATAGTAATACAATTTACAAACAATGAAATTTCCGAATTAAAAATAAGAAATATTGGAAGACGAGTCTAGAATCCATATAGGAATACAATTTAGAAATAACTAAAATTTGATATTAAAAATAATTAATAACTATCACGTATATACAATACGGTATGAATATTACACAATGGTAGTTTGGTAAAGTTAGTAAAAAATTTAAAATTATGTCATCATTTTAATATATTTTAATAATAAATTGAGAAAACATATATGCTATTATATAATAGAAAATATAATCATGCCAGCCGCGTAATCTATGTGGGCCACCATGCTAGTTCATGCATAGTAAGAAAAAGAGGGTTGGCTGACCTCAGGGTGTCCGTGTCGCTCCCACCCTAGGGCGACACTGACAGGGGGCGACATGGACGGCGACCAAAGATCCGCCGCCACCCATCCTTCCTCCTCCTTCGGCCTTGCAGCCGCCCGAAAGGCCACCGGCAAAGCCGACTGGCTCCAAGGACTACGACGACGGGGCTTCGTATTTCCCCCGAGGGTGCCATTCTGGCAGGTGGTTCTGAGGCGACCCAAGTGGAAGAGGTGGTGCCGTCGCCCAGATCCATGCTCTCCTCGGCCGGATCCGGTGAGGAGCAGTGACACGATTTGGAGCAGCGGCAGAGGTGGCCGCTCATGCTGCTGGATCCGGCGACAATAGTTTGCGTGGGTCGACGCGATGGTGGAGGGTGCTGGCGGCGGGGAAGAGGGAGCGAAGTGGAGGCGGCTCCTTTGGCCGGGTCAGGAGAGGAGCCATGGCAGGGAAGAGGGTGTGGAGGCGACAAGCCCGGATATCGGCATGAAGGGGCACGACTGGCGGTGGGAGGCTGGCGAGGTGCATGGAGAACGTGACACAAAGGCTCATGGCTGGCAAGCGCGACGTGGAAGCGACGAGGTCGGCGTGGAGGAGGCGATGAGGTCGGCATGGAGGCTGGAGTGGTGTGGAGCGTGCTAAGGTGGGAGCACCGCAAGGCTGGGACAGTGTGGCGGCGAGGCTTCCACGGTGGGAGGACGAAGGCGACGGCGGTGCGACCAGGCGGCCCGTTGAAGAGACACGGGTAGCTTGGTTGAGGCGGTGACGATGGTAGCACCATGAGGTAGGCGTTGAATGCTGTTACGAGCTCCTTTCCAGGCGTCAGTCTTGTTGTGGCGATGGCTAGCCACATTGGACGGGCTAGTGGGAGGAGAGAGGATCCATTTTTCTCTCTCACCCTCTCCCTCTATAACCCACCCACAAGGATGGATCTGGAGCACGCCGGAGGTTGAGATGCTACTTTGATGGCCAACCGGCGGCGAGGCATCGGCGCGGTGGCAAGTTGAAAGGGATTAGCTGGTGGTGACTGTTGAATTTGACAGATACTTAATCAATCGTTAGATTTGTTTTGGACGACCGATATGTACAACCCCCCCCCCCCCCCCCCGCGGGGGGTCCCGCGCGGCACAGCGCCCGCTTCTCTGGTCTCCGAGTCTTTTACCCCTATGCCGTTAAAAAGTTGCTGCTTATCTGTGTGCCACAAAAAAGTTTAGAGTCACATGTATGCCATGAGCCCAACTTTCGTTGACCCGTGTGCCATTTTGGATGGATGGAGACATAACGAGGTGTTAGGGGCTGTGTAAAGACAGTTTTGTCCTTGTGTACAATAACCCATCGGAGCCACCACTTTTCCTCACCCGGGAAATCGCCGGCGGCGAGCCCCTCGTCCTCCTCCTCCGGTGACCCGCAGCCTCCCGCGATGCGATCCGTGGCGAGGCTGCTCGCCGCGCTCCGTCGTGCCCCGCCGCACCCGATCCTCCTCCTCCTCCCCGGCCGTCTCTTCTGCGGCGGCGGCGGCGGAGATCCGGCAATCCCGGTGCTGCCTTCCACGCCGCGACGCCCCAGCAACACATCGCTACCATGCCATCGCCGTACAAACCGGGGGCGCATCGTGGCACCCCCGGAGCAAACACCGCCGCCGCCATTTTAGCCGCCGCCGTTGCATAGCCGTCGTCGCCCGCCGCTTTGCCGCCGTCTCCCATTGCTTCCACCGCCGCCGCACGACGCCGTGCCACCGCCCGCCGTCGTCTCTCTCTCTCTCTCTCTCTCTTCCTCCCGGCCGCCTCCCTCTTTTGCCTCCCCGGCCGCCGCCGTTCCATTCCCGGCGTCGACCTCCGGCCGCTGTCACCGACAAGCACCAGCCGCCGGGGCTCCTCCCTCTCCTCTGCTCACGCCCTCTCTCCTTCTCCCTGTGTGCAAGAAGAAAGAAGAGATGAAGAGGAGGATTAAAGGAGGAATAGAGCTGAAAATCCTTCAGGGGCAAATTAGTCATTTTCCCCACATGTCAGAGCTATGGAACTGTTAAGTTCTAACAGAAGGTGGACGGAATGGCACACGGGTCAACGAAAGTTTTTCTCATGACATACAGGTGACTCTAAACTTTTTTGTGGCACACATGTAAGTAGTAACTTTTTTTTAAGTTGCATAGGGGTCTTGGTTCTCCTTCTCCTCGCGCCGCCTCTACTCACTCTGGCTCACCGCCCCCCTGGATCTGGTTCTCAGAAGGCAGACGAGAGAGCAGACGAGAGGGGGGAGAGTTGCGGAGCAGCGGAAAGGGGTCGCCAATCACGACCCTATCTTCGATCCGTACGGCGACGGTCATCGCGACCCCCGCGAATTGCTCCGTCGCGGCGTCATCCCGTGAACCAGGTGACACTGAGGTGAACTTCCCTTCTCTCTCTTCCTCCCCCGTTGTCCCTCTCCCTCCCCTCCTGTCTGCCAACAACAGAATCATTGGGGTTCTGATCCAGGGCATTATCCCGATATCAAGGTGCATACCTAGGAAGGATCATGATCTAAGTGGGTTTGTTTTACGCGTACTTGATCAGTTCATATGATCGATTGTTATTACTAGTAGTTCATGACTTCACGAGATCAGATATTCTCGACATATCAACTAATTTTATAAACGGCACACATATTACTGTATTGTTAGGGGGACTGCTTTATACATACAGATTATTCATTACTTTACTGGTCTGGTCTAGTCTGGTCTGGTCTGGTATATCATGGTGCTACTGTTTCTGAGCGGGGTCTGGTCTGGAAATGTGCTAGTACCCGGGACTGATAAATTATGTCCTAGAACATTACCAGTTGCTGCAACTGCATGAATAACTGCCAATTTGTAGTGCTCGTATATTGGCAAACAATGAACAGAACGCCGTTAAACTCGCCAGACAAGAGCGCAATACAATTTGAATCCATCCAAAAGTCAGTCTCACCCAAACTCCTGGGCATCTCTTGTTAGTTGTTTCTTCCATTCTGTTTAGCCAAGCTTACTTAGTTTCTTTCAATTGTGCAGATACATGCTGGTGGGGTTGTGTTGATTGGGTGGATTGCAGTAAACATATCACCTTAGTATGTCAGAAAAGCAGGAGTCCATGGCAAAGCTTCTGCCTGACGATGTGCTTACAATCATCCTCCGTTGTCTTGCGCCACATGACCTTGCCATGTCTCGCTGTGTCTGCAAACTCTGGTGCACCATCATCGACACTCATCGCATGCTGCGTGTGGACCTCCTCCCACACTCAGTAGGCGGCATATTCATCAACTTTCATGATCTAGGCTTGTCAGAATTCTTCGCCCGCCCCTCGACAGGCCCCACAATATCTGGCAACATCAACTATTTGCCTCTCACATCCATAGTTAGGGGCCACTGCAATGGGCTCCTCTTGCTTTACAGCCATATCAGTCGTCCCGGCATGAAGCAGTTTTATGTGGTTAACCCGGCTACAAGACAGTGGGTGCAATTGCCTCCACCTCCAAGGCCTGATATTGGGATCATGCACTTAGACAATTTGTACCTTGCCTTTGACCCCACCTTGTCGTCACACTTTGAGGTATTTCAAATCCCCTATGTTGATGTCTTCCGCCATCGCTCTGAGTTGAATCCTGCAATAGAGGGAATAGAATGGCCACCGTCAACATGCGTTCTGCATGTTTTCTCAACAAGGACAAGGCAATGGGAGGAGAGATCATTTGTTCGAGAAGGGGAGGCTGCAGGATCTTTGGCTATCATACGACGAGATTTTCCAAATTTTCTGCACAATGCTGTCTACTGTCGGGGAGTACTTTATGTACGCTGTCAAACCAACTTTGTAATGAGGTAGTCTCACTGATAAGTATTATAATTTATTTCTTTATTAACAAATAGTATCACTCAATTTTATCATGTTTTAATATTTCTAAGTTTTCCAATATTTGCAGAATATCTTTGTCAGATGGCAAGTATCGAATAATTAAACCACCAGTAGAGATTGAACGGTACGAGGAGTCAAATATTTATATGGGACTATCACAGAAGAGGGTGTACTGTACATTCTTTGATGATCCAGACATAATTTATATTCTTGATGAATCGTACGGAAAAATGGAGTGGGTGCAGAAGAACGCTATTAGCTGTCTGGTCATACATGCATTTCAGCAAACTGATGGGCCCTGGACCTTACAAGATATAACTATCATGAATATCCTGATGCGTACGGACATGACAACAGTGAGGCAATAGAGGAACAAAACTTTGATTGGGACTCTGACAATGATAATTTTATCAACACTACAGACGAAAGAAATTTGCGCTACGGTAGAATTACTTTTCTAGGATTTCACCCTTACAAGGAAGTTGTTTTCTCAAGTCACTCATTGAGCCGAGGACTGGCATACCACTTAAATACCATGAAGTTTAGAGGCTTTGGCAAGATTCAAGACTTGGGCAATCTTGGCCCAAAATATTATGGAGGATGTATGGGTATCCAACCATTCATTGAAGAGTCTTTTCTGTGCACACCTTGGATGGGAGAGTTCCCAAAGGACATTAATTAAGATCTCATCTTGAAGATTACTACACAATGAATATGGCATATTGCCTTACTGTCATTCAGGACAAGTATCTCAAGCCATGAAGTATCTTTTGATAGCTTGTATCGCTGAGCTTCTCGAGTTCTTGTAATTTATCTGCTGTCGGAATATTATGCAAGTTAAGAGTCCATTAATCGTCACTGGACCTACATCAACACTCAGTAAGGAGTCATTAGATGGTACTAATTACAGAGCACGGTGCATGGTGTTACGATTTGCGAGAGCTTCTGCTGTGTGCAATGCTATATGCTTTCTGTAATGCAATGCCAGATGTTCCAAACCAGTTATGTTTATTTTATGTGTGTTACTCCCCTGTCCTAAAGGAGATTACCTCTACATTAATGTTAAGTACTGCAAATCTAGATGGACTGGTAATATTTGTCTCTCTCTCTCTCTATGTGTGTGTGTGTGTGTGTGATAGGCCATATACTGTGGAGCGGCATGCTTGTGGCAGATGAATAGCTAATAGAGTAATCTGTGTGAAAAGTTCCAACCTTTGACATTATATGAAGAAGGTTTTGTATAACTGTAAGTTGTCCGCACGTTATAAACCATACTTAATCCCCTCCAATCAAAGGCGATTGAGGGGAATACTAGTTCAATTTCTCCCCCGATTCGAGGTGATTATTTTGCCAAACAACCCCTTGAAAATGGCTTGAGAGCGAAGGGCCTTGTGACAATTGAGGATTTTGTATAACTAAAGTCGTCCACATTTTACGAACAGACAATGTTTGACTTTTTGAGAGCAAAATGATCCTTTTATCCCTTCGTCAGTTTAACTGGAAATGGTTCGCCGCGTGTCCATGTTCTCGGCTCTCCCCAAGGAAAGGCTGTCACTGCAGAACAGAGTGTATAATAGCCGGCCCCATACGGGGCATTTTTGGACGATTGCTTCACATTGACTCTAGTAAGGGTGTGAGGTGAGTCATTAGCACATGATTAATTAAGTATTAATTATTTTAAACTTCAAAAATGGATTAATATGATTTTTTAAAGCAACTTTTCTATAGAAATTTTTTTTGCAAAAAACACACCATTTAGTAGTTCGGGAAGCGTACGCGTGAAAAACAAAACTATCTTTCTCTCTTTCTGCTGCGCTCAAACGCAGCCTAAATATAGTTTGTTAATATAGAAACGAAGATTACTTACTTATCTAAGCAGCGTAGGCTGATTATAAACTGTATGGCTTATTAGGAAAAATAATAATTTGTGAGTAACTTTCATATATATATGTTCTTAATGATTAATGGTAATGCTGAAAACACTTAGATTAAAAATACATCAACGTCAAGTTCTAAATTTAAATTCGATGAAAATATATCAAAATTAAGTTTTAAAAATTTAAATTTAGTGCTGATTGCGGACCTTGTCGATTGTTTGGAGTTTCAACTTTCACGGAAACACAACGAAGAGGCTAGCAGGAAGGGGAAGCCATCAGGCAATAGAAATTTTGTACTCCATTTCAGGTTATAAAATATTTTAACTTGGATCAAAGTCAAACTGTTTTAAATTTAACTAAGTTTACAGACAAATATAATAATATTTATAATACTAAATTAGTTTCATCAAATCAATAATTAAATATATTTTCATAATAAATTTGTCTTTGGTTAAAAATATTACTTTTTTTTACAAACTTGGTTAAACTTAAAACAGTTTAACTTTAACCAAAGTCAAAACGTCTTATAACCTGAAACGGAGGTAGACGGAGGTAGTAGTACTTAAGAGGTACGAATAGGTACCAATTTTTTTTATTGCAAATTTGGTATATCCTATTATTGAGGTAATAAATTTTATATAAAAAATACTCTAAAAATACTCCCTCAGTCCCGTAATATAAGGGATTTTAAGCTTTTTACTTGCATTGTTTAACCACTCATCTTATTCAAAAAATTTTAGAATTATTATTTATTTTTTACTTACTTTATTATTCAAAGTATTTTAAGTACAACTTTTCGTTTTTTTATATTTGCACAATTTTTTTAATAAGACGAGTGGTCAAACAGTGCAAGCAAAAACTCAAAATTCCTTATATTAATATTATGGGACGGAGGGGACGGGAGGAGTATGATACAATACACTGTAGAATCACTCATAAGGTAAAGGGCCTTTGTCATTTGCTAATTGCTTGCAGATGTTCCAAAAACTACTACTACTAACATAGAAGCAAACTTAAATTGCGGCTGCTTGTTTTATCCTGTGGTGAAAATTAGCTCCGTTTGAATAACTGAAGGCGTATGCTACTCTAAAAAGACTAAAAATGAATCTGCACCATCCTCCCATTGCAGGGCAGAGCTAGAACGAGATGAGGGGTGCCACCTATTTAATTGAGTAAATTACACGAGCGATCCTTAAACTTGTAACGAACTTTTACTTAGGTCCACGAACTTGCAAAACATGCATCAAGATCCTTAAACTTAGTTTAATGTATCATCACGGTCCAAACTCTGATTTGACCATGGTCTTACCTATATGGTATGCCACGTGGACGATGACATGGCTAAATTTTCTTTTTCCCTTTCTTTCTTCCCATCTTTTCTCTCCTTCCTCACCTCGCGTGGAGAAAAATGCAGCAGAAGAGAGAGGAAGGAGGCAAAGTGGAGAAAAAAAAGAGATAAGAAGGGAGAAAAAAAGAAGGAAGAAGGGAGAAAAAAATAAAAAAATTTCATATCATCGTCTACGGAGCATGCCACATAGGCAAAACCACGGTCAAACAAGGCTTTGGACCGGGATGATACATTAAACCAAGTTTAAGGATCTTGATACGCGTTTTGCAAGTTCGTGGACCTAAGTGAAACTTCGTTACAAGTTTAAGGACCACTGGTGTAATTTACTCTGCTTTATATCAAGTTTAAGCTAATACAGGTGTTTAAATTTGTATTGAGGGGGTGCACATCAGTGGTGGATTTAGGCCATTTCTGCGGGGTCGGCTAACCCCACAACTTTTTAAAAATGTCCTATAAATCTCAATTTTTATGTATAAATCCAAAAGAATTTAGAGAAATGACCCCACTTAAATACAAACCACTAGTAATTGACCCCACAGGTTTAAATTCCTGGCTCCGCCACTGATGCACATATGATAAAATTAGGTTAGGTATAGCTACAAACTTTTCTTGAACGGATTCCTGGCCACCCCCCTCAGTACTCCTGCCTCTGTCCCCATGGCATGTTACACCTAAAGACACTATTAATATCATATCTACCTTCGACATTTTTCACTCTCGCACTCTCCATGATGCATTTTTTTATCCGTATTTTTCAATTTTATAACGGTGTAATGATAATATTGATTCCTAGTAGTTTATATTACTGATCAAGCTTTAACGTATAGACTATGAAAAAGGAAAAGTTAACACACGACAACGACCCATTGAGAACTTTTAAAACGAAATTGCCAAGAAGATTAGTGGCAATTGTTTTTCTATGTTGACTAGAGTCCAGAGAGAGTTTAGTCGTCCCCTGCATTTCCCCATCTCCTCCTCTGAGCAACTATATCGAGTTTCGACTACCATCTCAGCTTCGGTCTCGTATTCTCGTGGATCATCGGAAAGATGATCTCTACGGAAGAGGACTCTGATTCTTTTCAGGTAAAGAGAAGAGATCTCTTTTATCTTGCTTCGTGCTTGTTTTGTTTGTAGCTTTGTACCAATCTTTTCGTCCAATTTCATGGATCTAGACCAAAATTTTCGTGTTCCTAATTAGTTTCTTTTCATGATTGTTTTATGATGCAAATCTAACTGCCATGTCAATTGTTTTATCGTTAGTAAATTTCTTATTGTTCGCGTCCGTGCTTTTGAAGCTAACAGCATGATTTTTTTTTCGAACGCAGCTAACAGCATGATTTGGCTAGTCCTTTAAAACATGTGTATAAAAATCATATGTACATATATTTTGAACAAAGTCACCTCTTGTTAAGAGAGATTCTAATGATATAAATTATTTTAAGTTATTTGCTTATTAGACTCTGCCGAGATGCTGAAGTAACTTGCATAAAGCCGATAAGTAGAGAAAGGAGTACAGAAAAAAAAATCAAGATCTAAACTCTGTTAGCATGGATCATGGACCTGTTTGAAATACTGTACAGACAACTCTGACAAAATTAGTTAACCAGTAGTACAGCTTTCTTTTCTTAGGAAAACAACTTTCTTTTCAGAGAGTTTCATGTCTTGTTACCAATTTCTGTTTGATTCCATCTCTGACATATATTCAGTGTGTTGGGACTTCGAGACCACAGCAAAATACTACTTGGGCAGCTTTCTAATAGTACTAGATTTAGCTAATAAGAGACCATTTGTGGATCTAATCGCCTTCTGAAGGCGATTAGCTAGTTTTACTCGGGAGATAAAACATGGAAATAACTGAGAAACATAAAGCCTCCGCCGGCCATTCCCGTTAACCATTTCCGCTCTTTCTTCTTAATCTGCCTGTGGGCAGGCACGATGTGGTGTTCAGACATCTTCAACGACTTCTTCGTCGGTGTATCGATGATGCTTTCTTATGGGTTTAGCATTTAAAGTGCTAAGATAGAATTGTCCTCATAGCCTGGAAAAATATTCTATTGTTCTCTCCCGGCCCCAAAACTCTGCTAATCTGTTATGGCAAAGCTGTTGGTTTATGCCTGAACTCTGATAGCCTGTAACCCGTTACTCACTTTTCAATGGAAAATTCAGGTGGAGAAACTCTTACCCTCGAGTGATTTACTCCCAAAAAAAAATGGAAATAACTAGTGATAATTTTTTTTAACCCTTCCCAGGATGACAGCGAGGAACTGCAAATGCAGGTGACAAAGAAGACGTTGAAGCGTGTCATATCACTAGCCGAAACCTTCATCGCCATAGCAACCGGCATCCTCGCGGCAGCTTTCTCGGCAGGCAAAGATGTCCACCTGCACCGCCACGTCCTGGCCGCCGGCGGCTGCTTCCTCGTCGTGACATACCTGTCCGCTCTCCTGCTCATCTACATGAAGCTGTTCTTGTCAGATCACAGGCGGCTGCGCCGATGGCACGTCCGGTCCCTGCAGCTCCTGTGCGTGACCAGCGGCGCGTCGCTCGTCGCCACGAACTCCCTGCTCCTCGTCCTCATCGGCGAAGGCAATGGCTTGCTGTCGCTCAACCTGCTGCCCGTGCAGGGCATCGTCGGCGTGCTCGCGTACCACGCGACGCCGACGGAGGGGAGCGCGCGCGACGAGGCGTTCGAGGCGCAGGTCAAGAGCGCCCGCAAGGTCGCGCTGTTCGCGGCGGCCACGGCCTTCGCCGTGCAGACCACGCTCGTGTTTGGCGCGTTCAGCAACGCCGCCCTGCAGGCGATGGGCGGACGCCGGCTGGACCTCTCGGTGTCGTTCCTGGCGTCGGCGCTCAGCGTGTTCTTGGTCGTGGCGACGTGCATGCCGCTCGGGTTCAGGAACCAGGGCGCCAGGGACAAGGTGCTGTCCATCGTGAGGTACCTCAAGAAAGGCGTCATGGCCGTGCTCGCGGTCACCGCGGTGACTCTCGGCCAGGAGTTCCTCGGTGGCGCCGCGGCGCTCGCGCTCTTCCCGGAGATCACCGTCGCCGCCATGTACTACGCCGTGAGCATGCCCGCCGACGAGGCGGCCGCGGCCGCTGACCGCAAGATGGAGGTGCTTCCGACCGTCGTCGTGGCGACGTTCGGCTTCGGGATGCTCGGGGCGGCGTACGCGGCGCTGTTCGGCACGCCGGAGTACGACCTGTACACCAAGGCCCTGGCGTTCACCCTGCTCACCGCCGTCGTGTCCAGCCTGGGCCGCGTGGCGGGGCCGCTCTGCAACGCCCAGCGTGACAAGAGCTCGGCGGCGTGGGTGACATTCCTCAGCAGCATCCTCCCCATCGTGGAGATGCTGGTCGCCGTCCCGCTCGCCGCCAAGGTAATGGTTGATTTTCTCGCCGTTCCTGGTAATGGCTGATTTTCTCGCCGTGCACTCACTAGCACTTGATGTCTTGATCACTTGTACAAATTCTTCGAACACGATACGTGCATACTCTGACACGCACCATGTTGTTGTTGTACTTTACTGACTTTGTACAATGTCATGTACTTATAGTAGTGGACCTCTCTTGGACACCCTGAAGAGCACATATTTTTTGTGTGATTTTGTCTGAAATAGTACTGCTAGGAGTAGTATTTGCCGCAGCAGCATTGCGGAGTTGCCAACGCCTCGAAGGTATTCATGGGCTTATTAGATTGATGGGCTGTTTTGTACAGACAATCACGGCCCCGGTTGGCTGTCAGCCTATAACTCCATCAGATTGTGTGGTTTTGGTTTAAAAGAAGAGCAATTTTACAATTCGAGGTACCATGAGGTACCATTTTTTTATTGTAAATTTGATATCTCTTGATACCTAGGTACTGTGAGGTATCATGAGTGACCAATTTTTACACTAAATTTTTAGTACCTCATGGTACCTCCTCAAGTACCGTAGAATTACTCTCAGAAGGACTCATTTTGATCGGTTGCAAACACGTAGTCTCGCAGTTAAAAAAAAAACCACGTAGTCTCGTGAAATAAGCCTAGAATTGATCGAGTCGAGTACAGTTCATTCAGAGGGGAAAAATAAAAGGAAGATTACGATCGTCGATTGGGACCGAAATTCCGAACGGAATTGCAATTGCTGAGGTTTGTTGACAGGCGACTGAACTCAATTCTTGTCCGGTGTTTCCGGCTTTCCCCACTTCCTTGAGGCACAACTCAGCCCGCCGTCAATTCCGAGAACTTATCAAATCCATGATGAACAATTGCGACGTTCGCTTTCGAGCGGGCAGGTCCATGGAGTGTAACAATGAGAGAATAAAAATCGACAGTGTAAGGCAGGAAGGCGACGCGTTACTGTGCACGATGCGGACCTCGAAACGCTCTAGTACACAGCACACGCAACGGGCCGGAGTTGTAGTGAAGCTCTTTTTTTTTTCCTTAACGAACATAGCGAAGCTTGAGTATCAGAACAAGGCATTTTATACGCATGGGGATCACATGATGATATTAAACTACTTGACCGACACAGCGTTCATCCGTGAAATTATCGCCCAAAACGCAATGCCTCGTCCAGCCAGTAGTACATCGGCTCTGGGTTTCTTCATTATAGTTCAGTTGGATCGTCGGTTTCATCTAGACAAGTATCCGAAGTAATAATCTGTCGCATCGGTCAATGACTATCTGCTACTGGCTGATGCAGGGAGCAGAGCATACTCTGCTCTCGCAACGTACCGATTGACGTACATGGCACTCACAGCAATGCAGCATCGTGCAGTGGTCGATCGACATGGTGAATTGGCGATCGGGTTGGCTCGGCTCGGCCGTGAAGCAAGCAAGCGTACGTGAGCACGACAAGTGACAGCCAACCACCGAACACGATCCGCTATATAAGACGCTGCATAGTGCGCACACCTTCAAGCTCGTACATGTACGCACCGCGACACTGCGAGTCCTGCAAGAAGCCAAGCCAAGCACACGAGCGCAGCAGCAGCAGCAGCAGCAGCTAAGCTAGCTAGCTTGGAGAGATCATCGGAGATGCCTCCCAACGCGGCGGAGGTGGCGCGGCCGAAGAGCCCGCTCCGGGGCATCCTGCCGCAGAGCCCACTCCGGATCAAGCAGGACGGCAAGTTCTACGAGCGGCTCCTCGCCAAGGAGAGGTCGGCGGCGAGCCGCTCCTTCCGCCACTACTGGGCCGCCGAGCCCGGCTCGGTGCCGTTCGTCTGGGAGTCGCAGCCTGGCACGCCCAAGGTCGACGTGTCCCGGATGGTCGCCGGCGCAGTCCCGGCCATCACCCCGCCGCCGTCGTACCTGCTCCGGCACGGCGGCAAGGCTGGCGCGGCGGCGCCGGCGGCGCCACGCCGTCGTCCGCAGGGGAAGGGCAAGGCGAAGACAGGCGGCAAGACGCGGTACAGGTTCAAGCGGATCAAGATCGGCTTCCTCGCCGGCATCTTCCGGAGGATCGCCCTCGGCCACGTGTGGCGGCGGTCGGCGGCGTCGGTCCAGGTCTCGTCGTTGTCAAGCCGGTGGCTCTTCTCCTCGGCGGCCACGGCGCCGGAGAAGGCCGAACACCTCGACCACGACACGCCCGCGCCACCGCCACCGCCAAGGCCGAACACCGAGCTGTCCACCCGGGCGCGCGCGCGTCCGAGCCTTTGGATGCTGCGATTTCGCGGATTCCGAAGCTGGAGCCGCGACGACGGTTGGGCGTAGGTCGCTCTCGACTTCTCGAGTGTATACGTGCGTCATCATGGGGGATTAGAACGTGACAAATGAAATGTTTATGGTTGCGAGAGATGTTAACGGTTGTTTGTATGCATGCTGTTGTTGCCTAGCGTTTCATGGAAATCATCATTAATTACGCGTTGATTATGTTTACGGATGAAACCCGACGTGTTCGGAACAGTTGATCATCTTTTGTCACTAGTTTAACAGGGTGATTAAAAGGATCATACACAATAATCTGATTAGTACGCTTGGTATTTTCTGTGATAAATTAATTTTATTTTCCCATATGGTCTCAGATATGTTTGGAGATGTAGCAAAGGAAATGTTTGATGTGTTCGCTTCGGTTTATCGGAGATGTGATCAGTACGGTACGGTTAAAGATTCTTAATTAGCTACAGGCCCTAGATTGAAAGACCAAGAACGGCTATAGAGGGGGTGAATATAGCAATTCAAAATTCACCCTTGAAAATACTCATCAAAACGATTTTCTCAAAATTCTTACTAGAATCGCAGCTATTAGAAAAGCCGGACCTAGAAAAGAAGAGAGAAGGAATTCCCGAAACTAGAAGAGAGATGAGAGGAAGATAGCAAATCTCATCATTGCAAAGTTCAAATCGCAAGCAGAATTTAAATTGTAGAATTTAAATGGACAAGGCAAAAATAAAATCTTTCAAATCATCTCATTCATAGGTGTTGCAAAATAACCGCTCAATTAGGAGCAAACATACACCTTCATAGAAACATTAATTCAAACTTAAAAACCTCTCGGGCAAACACACTCCAAACTCACACCGAAACTCTCTCACCGAGCATCTTAAAAGGATTACAAAAGGAGCAACCTCCACCCTTACATCCATCTCTCTATTTATAGCCTAATACCCCCTAAGACATTGTCTCAAATACCTCATACCTCTAGGGCGAAACCCACCCTGGACTCAATCTCAGCCACTTGCTTTTCCTTCTCCTCAAAGGAATAGCTCCAGATCGCTGCCACGTAGTCAATCCGAACTCCTCCACGCTGCACTCCCTTGCACGATCCGCGTGCTCCTGCTCCAGGCCAGTAACACGCCGCCACGTCGCGCCTCAGCACGCGAGAGCGCGCGCTCCACCGCGTGAATCCCGCGCTCATCTGCACGCATCCAGTCCGAAGCCTCCACGCGTCCCACCGAGCCGCTCCCACGCGCGCTCGCTAAATCGCACGTGGGTCCCACGCGTACGGCTCCTGCCTCCGAGCCGTGCAAAACAGCGTGGACCCCGTGCCTGCGCGCGCCGAATTGCTTGTCGCCGCGTGTCCGCGCATGGTGCCGATGCCGTGGGCCGTCGTCTTCTCTTGGGCCTGCTCGGCCTGGCCTCCCTGCCAGCCAAGCACTCGGGCCTAGAGCTAGGGATGAAAACGGAGCGGATACGGATGGATAATGCTCATACCATATTCGTTTTCATATTTTTTTACCGGATACGAAAACGAATACGGATAGCTCGAATACGGAAACAAATACGGATTATCTCGAATACGAATAAGAATCGAATATGATCGGACATGAATACGGAAACAATTTTTTCTCAGAACACGAAAACCAACTCAACTTCTAATAGAAACAAATATCAACATATATAATTAGCTCATTTTATATAAAATGAGGTATAATTTATAAATATTTTTTAAAATTTAAATAATATTAATAGTATGGACTAGTGTTAAGAGATAAACTACTATTAAAATCTATAAAGATATATTGAAGGTTATAGAGTTAGAAAGATATGGGGTATGTCTCATGGGTCCTGCGGATATCCGAATAGCACTGTTCACCGGATATCCGAATTATTATCCGTATCCGATGGAAACCCTGGTACCATATTCGTATTCATATCCGGGAGAAAATATCCGTATTCGTATCCATATCCGAACTATCCGAGAATTATCTGATCCGAAAGGTATCCGTATCCGTTTTTGTCCAGAACGGACGGAAACTATCCGCTTAGTTTTCATCCCTACCTGGAGCCAATCAGGCGTTGGCTTGGCTTCCGTCCCAACAGAGCCCATGTGCAAGCTAGCTAGCCAATCAGCTAGCTGCACTTGCCATCTCATGCACACGCCAGCGCATGCCTGCATGCTACAGTACTTAGTACTGTAGCTCCTCTTCTATTCTCCATTTTCTTCGTGAACCCGGCACTTGCACACTTGACCTTGTGAAGCCCGTTGTGAAGTCTTCCCGACACGGTGTTCGTCCACCGTGCGTCACCTTGATCTCAACCTTGTCACACGGATTCGTCGATCGTTCTGGACCTCAACTCCCCCTGAGTCTAGTCCCAATCCGCCGTCTACCCAGGCTGACCATCAGGGATCATGACGTCAGTCCCACCTTGTCACATGGCCTCTTGACCGTGCTAGACCTCTGCTCCTCCCTGAGTATAGTCCCGGTCCTCGCCATTGACCGCGGTTGACTTCGATCACCTGCACACACGTAAATCAAATATCCGATTCTGGGCACAGATATCGTAACCTGACCTACGTTAGTCATAAGCATTGTCGCCTAAAATCGCCAACAATCCAAACCAAATTTCTTACTCAAACCAACTCATGGTTAAATATTTCGTTGCCAATTTTCCATCACGAATAAACCAAAATCACACTTGGTTTTACATAGATCATGCATACGTCATTAGTCCATGATACGTGGTTTTGTCAGGCTTAAACGGGCATTATCAGGTTCGTGCGAACAGAACTAATTCCATCATGTACCATAATCCATTTCGTTATCTTCTGATGGTAGGTGATTGCTACTAGTAGTACTATTTTCTAGTACTCCTGCTCGAGATATCAATCAATAGAAATTAGGTGCAAGCCTTTAGTGCAAGACTAGTACATCTCTGAATTCTAATGCACCGATAATAGCCATGCATAGGTGCAGACCATACCGTCCTCTTCTCCCAACCCAACCGATTGATCTGACAGTGCTCTTGCAACAAACTCAAAATGTTCAGGGTAGTTAACAACATGATCTCCTGGCTGTCAGTATGCAGGGGATGGTCCTTTTTGCTGACATGCTCTCCATATGACCAAATCAACAAGTATAATTCAAGTCTGCATATTACTAGCCAGTAACTTTTGCTGATGGAGTAGTTTATATGTAGTTATGTATAGTACTGATCAGTATTCAGTACTAGTACAGTAGTAAAGTTTCTATGATCCGCCTGTAAGACACATCAAAGAGATCAGAAAAGAGTACAGATTGAACAACCTGCTACTCTGCTAGTAGTGCTGCACTCTGCTCTGCACCGTCGCCGACGTCGTTCTCCAGTCCGCTGTTCACTGGATCCAAAATGACGAGTTTCGCTATTGCATTGGTGCGAGCTGCGAACTGCAACACCAGACTTATATAAATGGAAGGCCAACGGCAAAATCACTCGTGCTGCGTGTAACTGTGCCGCCTCCAACTGATCGTCTGGTAGCTGCCCGTGGGCCGTGGCCAAGTCGTGGGAGGCCGTCGCGACGTCGCCGTGGGGCATTTTCAAGGTGAGCCGCTACGCGTTGAATTATCTAGATCGATCGGCACGACGCCCGTACGGGCCACCGACGGATAATCGGATAGGCAACGGAAGCAGGATGATATAATATGGTATCTTGAGGTCAGAAATATGATTCCTGGTCAGATTAAGTTCTCCAAGTAAGGAATTGAATATGTTTGCTCATGTATCGCAAATCAGCTAGCTGGAATATTATACTGGCATTTGCTTCTCAACTAAAGGTTTCAATATTGAACTAAATCTCTAGATTCCACATTTTGTAAAGCTGTATCGATCAAGAACCAGATCAGGTGCTGATCACACTAGTTTGGTTTATGGGCTGATCAGGTGCTGAGTTGCCATCCTGAAACTAGCCTAACAGTGAAGTATAGCATAGGGTTATAAGTGTGGCCGCCTCTGTTTCGGCATTTGGTTGTTGAGCTTAATTCGTGTAGGTACCTTGAGACTGTGTAGAAGTTCAGGCGAACAGTACAGGGAGGGGGCCGTTTGGACTGAGTAGGGAGTTGCAAGTCTGCATGAGCAATGGCAGCATGGACACATGCATCGTCCATGCGTGGCGGCGCCGACGCCCACGTACATTTTGTTTGGTGGATTGGAACAGCGACAGCTTCAGAATTACGTTTCGCTCAATTGTACACAGTTCGTTTCGATATATCTTACACTGTCAATTAGCCGGCTTAAATACATAATTAAGGAACGTGTCCTTCGCGTCAATGTACTGAGCAGTGAGCACGTACGCATCTTGCACCTTAAAGTAGAACCACTAGTTAGCACCTTGCACCTTACCCCCAGTAAAGAATTACATTTTAATCACATAAAAGAAAAACAATGCTTCCTCCGTTTCACAATGTAAATCATTCTAGCATTTCCCACATACATATCTATCTATATTCATTAACATCAATATATATATGGGAAATATTAAAATGACTTACATTGTGAAACGGAGGAAGTACCTACTTTGAGAATAATGTGGGAGAATTACTCGGACTCGAACAAGACTCAACCAAAGACTGTTAAGAACAGAATACAGGAGAACCTAGGGTATAAAGGCCTAGCACCAGAAGGAAGATGGAGGAGGAACTGAACAGAACAACAATCTACTCAAACCTTGATGCTCACAAATCCCACCGCGATATCCAGCCTTCGATCCATCAAGAGCCACCGGAGCCGAGTTTTCATATGTCCGACCAACATCTCGTTAAAATTCCTAGCAAGACTAGCACATAGGCTTAGGATAGGCACATATATCAATAAAAGTAATAGGCCTACCCAAACCAATAGGACGTAGGGTTATTATTTCGAGTAGGCCCTAAACTTGTATAAAAATGCCACGCGTCGGACTACCATACCTCACACAAGAAATAAGACACACAAACAAGATTCAGGTCTTATAAGTTTCTATTGTCAGGATTTTTATCAACAACAGCTTGAGCCACGGTCAAGCTAGGTTTGCACAACATAATCTAGCTTAGTTAGCATTTGTTTCTCCAACCAAGCCTAGCAACTTAGTTTGCAAAAGTTTAACTAGGTGTGCTTTTTAACCATCGATTCATCTGTTGGCCTACATCATGATGCTATAGCTAGTCATAAAAAAATGTATAAATCATCTCCTCTTTCCTCCTCATCGCTCCCTCCCGAGCTCAGCTGATGTGGCAGCGACGGCAGAGTTGGCGCTAGAGAAGAGAGGAGAGGAGGCAGCGGCACCAAATCTAGTGCAGTGTTGGCGCTCATGACTTGGCAGGAGACAAGGGCTACCAGGTGCAGCCTTTGGGGAGGAAATGAGAGACGACGGAGTTGCATTGGGGTTCAAGTTCGACATGGGGAGACCCAACAAGAAGTTGGCAACCCATGGTGCTCTTCTTCTAGAGGATGAATACGTGATTGTATGGTGGCTTCTTCCGAACCGCGTTGGTTGGCAAGAAGGATGAAGTAGCAAGCGACTTTTGGCCCGATACCTATATATGGCCAGCGTGGTTGGGCGAGACACAAGTGCTACAATGACGAGGAGCTGGATACCAGTTGCATTAGAGATAGTTATGTGGCTTTGCCTCTTCAAATTTTACATTTTGGAGTGAGATGCAAGTCCATTGAAGATTGCCTATGAATGCAATTGACATAATCAACCTACTGCAGTAAAAAGACACTGCTCTATTAATTTGAGAGGCAAAATAAGCATCAACCTATCGTCGTCCTGGCTACTATCTAGATCTATATATAAATTGCACAGTGAAAGTTTGTTCGAAGTATAAAGGTCTACGAAGCTACTTCCTCCATCCAAAATAAAAACATTTCTGAAGTTAGACATAGGCATGAAGAAAGTATGTGTAAATGATTAAAATAAGGTTATAATTAGTTGAGAAATAAAAATAAGTGAGGAAAATAAATGGAGAATAGTTATGGTTGGTTGAGATGAGGGGTGTAGATGGAGAAATAGTTTTATTTTGAAACAAATTAAACTTGAGTGGTAGAAATATGTTCATTTTGAGACTTTGGGCACCTTTGTATACATTTATACGCCTCACCATAAACCATTCATGGCTGGGAATGGTTTATGAACCGATCTCCTGTAGACGCTAATGTTATCAGATCTCCGCATGGATCATGAACTACTCGCACTTATAATTAATTTTTTTTGCGGGGAATTAATTAATTCGTTCTTGCCCCCGTCTTCTGTGTCAAGAAATCAAGATGGTGACCATGACGGGCCCTTTAATTTGCCATGTGAGCCCGCGACTGTGACCATCTGATTCTGAATCAATTTTTGTTGGTCTAATGCCAGTCGTATCCCGTATCCGTTTGTAAATCACTTTCGACGGAAATACAAATACTACTCAAAATTCTTCGACATTTATATTGCATTTCTAGCTGGTATCTAATAGGAAATTAGAGAAAAAATCTTACAAATTTTGAACCATCGATTTAACTTATGATTCATACACTAGGCCGGCTCCTTTAATTAACTCAGACAACTCGACCAACTCACGTGACCCTCCGATAGTAAAGACAAAGCGACGACTCTGGTTAGGGATTTAGATCAGGCTAGGGAGGGAGGTAGTGGGTTTAGAAAAGCCAAGTGATGGAGGCTATAGGAGAGCCGAGAGTGGTGACATGTTGATGGCACCACCAAAGCCATAAAATGAAAGAGGGTGGTGGATAGTAAAGGTAGTGGGGTAGTCAAGAAGGCAATAGTAGGCCACGAGTACAAACGGTACAGCCAGTGACATCCTTGAGGTCACATGCTCGTGTGCTGCTAGCCGCTACTGCAAGCACCACCACGACGTCCCTCCAGCATCGAGCTCACCAGATCCAGGATGAGCAACGATAGAGCTAAGGAGGTGGCTACGAGCTCAAGGAAGGAGGAGCAGTGAGTGTCGCCGATAGTGTGGGCTCTGAAGAGGACGACAGTCTCCTCGGTGAAGAAGCCATTGGCGACGAAGTGGCGGAGCATGTCATCGAGGGAGGAGAAGCGTGCGAAAAGGTCAACCTCCCATGCGTTGGACTAGAGTCGCGGCAGCCAAGCACAACATCATAAGCGGCGCAACAAGGGACAACAACAGAGTCCTACACCATGAGCGACAGCATGTCGGTGCAGGAGATGACGGCGGGGTAGGCAGTCTTGACGGCACCATGAATCCCTAATAGGCGCCAGGGCCAGGATGAATCGACTCGGCATGAGGGCCGTGACATCACCATCAACCCCGGCCACCAAAACTATGGACACACCTCTACCTCCCCAACCTCGACAGCTGCGGCTGCAAGAGGAAGTTGATCCCCATCATCCTGTACCTCCATAACGGTAGGCTCGTCATTGGCTCGGTTGAGGATGCGCTCGAGCACGAGCTCGCCAACCGCCTCTACACCCTGGCACGCGTCCTCGTGTTGTCCTTCAATTACTGCCTCGCGCTAGAGCACCCCATCCCTGCCTGCTACGATGACGCGTGGTCTACACCGCAGTCGCCGTTTGCCATCAGAGCCACGAGCGCCGACCCGAGGTGGTGGGCCTTCGTCCTCGGTACAATGCTGTTGAGAAAGATGGAAAAGAGGAGTGAGGAGGGGGAAGAGAAAGAGTCTCTGATTATGTGGGTCCCACCAGTCATGTCAGCAAATAATGCTTCCCACACCATCAAAAAAGTTGATTTTTTGCACCCATTTTCGAAGATGGGAGAGACATTATACCCGGTTTTGCGGTTGAGGGATGCGATTCAATCAGGAGGAAGAACGAGGGAGGTAAATAGACTTATTCCTTCAACCCCCAGCTCAAAATTAAGCGGCCTAGCATTGGCACGACCCAGAAGGCCTTCAACCTGCACTGAGAAACAAAAGAGAAGTACTCATATAGACAAAATTAGGCCCAGTTCCTATCGCAAGAAACATACCGAAAACATAGCCCAATACACATATCAAGTCTCAATGTGTACTACCTCCATCCCATAATAAATTCATTTTTAGTCCCTCTAAGTTCTCGCAAATAAGTTTATTTTTAAATAATTATTGTATCGGAGTTTGTAAAAGTATGAAATAATTACATCAGAAATAGATAAAGTTGTATTAGAAATAAATAAAGTGTAGAATAATTACATTGTGATTTGATAAGGTAGGGTATTTTAGTTTTTAAACTTATTTTGGGACAGATGGAGTAAATGAATTTGTATATATGGTTTTGAAAACCTCTAGAAATAAGAACGTGCATGTACGCTCACCTGAAAATTTTGTGCGCTCACACCATGTGCTACATTTGTCTTTTCTTTCAAGTTATTTATTCCACCCATATATACTGGCAATACTCTCTCCGTACAAAAATATAAACTTATTATTAAATAAGATATTTTCTAGTACAGTAAATCTGAATAGATACTGGGAAATATTCCATTTAATATTATGTTGGGTTATTTCGGAAGGGAGGGAGTACTTGTCATCCCGAAATTGGCAGCCAAACTGGTGAGAAAATAGCCTGGAATTGGACAAACATTGCTGTATGTCTTTCATCCATCCAAAAATTACGTACGTGTGTAAAGAACCATTAAGCACTAGCTGGCATCCTGGGTGGCACTGAAAACCGAAGACGCTAGCTGTAATTTTGTACTCCAGGTTGCGTAGCAGTAAGGTAGTCACACACAAGAGTTAAAAATGCATTGGTCCAGTGGTTGCGGCAGGCTTCGTTTTCAACAGCATTTCATTCCCTTGACATGAGCAGAAACACCCGCAGGAACACGAGGGGAGGGCTACAGGGCGCCGAGGGCCAGGCCAACCGATCGAGTCAACCTTTCAACACTCGCCAACATTTCTTCCCCTCCTGCCCATTTACTCGCTACCAATTGTACAAGCTGCCCATCCCCCTCATTACTCCCTTGCCTTTTAAGCACTCTTTCCTTCCTTACAATTCCAAACTTTACACTTCTATACCCTCTTCTCTCCTCCGGCCCTATCTACAACTCTACATCTCCTCCTCCTTTCTTTTTGTTCTTGTTGTCCATCTCCATCTCGTCATACACCTCCCAAGCACGGGAGTATGCCTCAATGTCCACAGAGAGGTAAGTGGCCACCTAGAAATGATTTCAGTTGAATTCTTTACCTTTTGTCCCCTTTTTGTCTCTTGGTTCTTTTTGAAATTATGCTTCTCTCTTTCTGTTTCTTGATTTTTTTCTCTAAAGAATCGGAGAGGTTTTCTGTTCCTTTTGCTTGGAAGGATAGCATGTACCTTTTGTAGTTCGTGGTTAAAACTTGAAATCTTGCATTGTGGTTTGCATCTGGTCCCTCTCCTGAATCCATGCAAGAAACCCTAAAAACCTTCTTCGGCCCTTTCCAATTTCCGCCAGGGAAAGACTCGATGAGATCGGCAAGAAGATCAAGCGAGAGCCGGACACCGCCGGCGTCGTAGTCGCCGCCGTCGCAGGCACCGGCACCGGTACAGCCACGCCGATCGAGCACCGCGTCCCCCATCGCCTCGGCCTCGGCGGCGCCGTGAACACCGTGACCCCGTGCGCCGCGTGCAAGCTCCTCCGCCGGCGCTGCGCGCAGGAGTGCCCCTTCGCCCCCTACTTCTCGCCGCACGAGCCCCACAAGTTCGCCGCCGTCCACAAGGTCTTCGGCGCCAGCAACGTCTCCAAGATGCTCCTGGTACGATACCATTACAGGTCAAAGCATTCCTTAAATTGTACCTTTCGCTAGCTTGTGCATTAATGGCTTCGTCGGTGCAATGCGGTTTCAGGAGGTCGGCGAGGCGGAGAGAGCCGACGCGGCGAGCAGCCTGGTGTACGAGGCGAATCTGCGGCTGCGCGACCCCGTGTACGGCTGCATGGGCGCCATCTCGATGCTGCAGCAGCAGGTGAACGCGCTGGAGGCCGAGCTGGAAGCGGTCAGGGCCGAGATCTTCAAGCGCAGGTACCGGCAGGCCGGCGCCGCCACCGGCCTCATGGACGACGTCCAAGTCCATATCACCGCCGGCTTCGCCGCTCCTCCTCCTCCTCCATCGATGCACGCGAGGGACGTGGTGTCAGTGGCGGACGCCGGCGGGCAAGGGCAAGAGTTGGCCGGAGCGCCGGTGATCTCGTCGGCGTCTCCGCCGGTGTATCCTGCCGGGCAGCCATCAACAAGTACTACTGACTACAGCTCCCTCAACACAAGTGAGCATGCTGCATACTTTGGTTGACTTGCATGGATTTATCTAACATTTTGGTGTGATCACAATTAAGCCGGGGAAAATAAGATCTGTGTGCGAGATTAGTTATATATATGTTTCTCTAGAAATAGATATAGTTGTGGATACCTTGGGTGAAGAAAAGAATTTGTCCAATGGATGTATCAATCCTTAATTTTATTGTATTGTCCATTGTGATTGGGCGGTTGATTTAATTAATTGAGTGCGTGCTAAATGATCGAATTAGCTCAAGGAAGTTTTCTTCGGTTCCGGAATGAAGTAGTGGTTGTAGTAAGTGAAATTGAACTAAAAAACACATCTGCGTGTATATATGTACATATATAGTCCAAGTGCAGGTTAATTTCAGAGTTAGTTATGCGTGTACTGAATAAGATAGATCGTTTTCGTCCTACGTATTTTTTCACGAATTTTACAATGATTGATATGAATTTGCGTGCAGGCTAGAATGATCTGGTACCAGAGTACCTGCAGAGCATGCGTGATCCTTGAACTGATTATTACTACTAGATTGGTGACGAGACCTAAAAGAATAGGTCATTCGCTGATGTACACGTATATATAGTGACATCTCCTTGGATATTATTTGCTTGAATGCATCAACTAATTGATTGGTTCTTACTATTCGAAAAATAAGTCAGCTTGATACTTACATAGTCACGTCATTGTCATTTCTCAACGTTCTAGCCTTGTTCACATAATTTGGCAATTGATCATTGTTCTGAAATAGGTTACACTGTACAAATACATGCACAGAACTTATATGAAGGAAACAGGACAATGAAACTACTGTAGGTCGATCATATATGCATGTCCACATTATATAACTGTTACTCTCGCTTGTGCAATGTAGTATATCATTCGATGTGCTCTGCACAATATCCTTTTGTGTAAGTTCGTGTATTTTTTTTAACCAGCAGATCGTCGAAAGATTTCTTTTTACATATCCGTCTCGTTTAAACGAAGCATTTCTTTGGTGCAAACCCCCTCTCTCTCTCTCTCTCTCTCTCTCTCTCTCTCTCTCTAAGATGATGTTGATTGGTGCATTTTTTTTAAATCTGGAAAAGTGTTTTTTGTCCTCGGATGCCATCTCATTTCTTTCATGTCATCTAAATAATTACAAAAAGTTTTGAATTTTGTTACAACATATATTAAAACCTACTAGATCGGTCCACAAATATACAAGTTTAAATCAACTTTTACAAGTTATTAACAATAATAACATATATAACTACGAATATGTGTATATATACTAGTTAGAGTTTATAATTTTGTTGTTTTTTTAACTTGTTGAAATTGAATTTGACATTGCATGTTTATGGAATGATATATATCGTATTAATATTTCTTGTCAATTTGTTTTAAAACAATTTGATAGTTATTTATGTGACATGCAAGGGTATTCTCCCGAGGGATAAAAATCCATCTCCTTTTAGTAGTTTTAGTAGTTGTACGTGCCATGTTACACTACCTTTTAACTATTTCATCTAAAATTTATCATTTGCATATAGGACGCATGAATCATTTGAAGAAATCTAGTGGGCGTGTTTTAAAATCTTATGCACAGTACAAAGTGATAGTACAAAACAAGGCTCTGTATGGGCCGACATATCATTTCTTCACGTGCTCTTATTTTAGTATTTCCCTCAATAATACTATGACCCTGTTCCGAAGTCTGAATACCAGGGTATTGGTCATGTAGAAATGATAGGACATTTCCTATGTAGGCCAGATTACTTGTTCTTAATTTGTAGCTCAATACTTCTTCAGATGCATATGAGTTATTCTAGTTTTGTATTAAATTAAACTCATCCAACTCGGCAGAGTTTATAAAAAAAATAAACCAACATCAAATCAGTTTTATTAAATATACTATTAAAGATATCTTGATAGTGCATTTTTTTAAGATATTAGCAGAATTTTTTACTACATAAACTCGGTTAAAGTTAAAAGAAAGTTTGTATAGTACGTACAAAACTAAAACAAACAAAAATGAGGAATGCAACCTTGTTGCATGAAAATTAGTGATTCTTTAGTTTTTCTGCCCTTTAATTGTATGCCAGAAAGTTGTTGTTGTTTTCATATTTTCTTTTGTTATTCCTGCATATATTAGTTGTGGGTTGATCGGTAGTCTGGTATAACATGGTTCAGACTTCCGATGGACGAGGAAGCTACCAGTCCATACACATTACTTCATGCACATACTTTCGAGACCATTTAATATCGTTAATTTGCCTACATATATTGTCCTGGTACGTAGAAAGCAATGTGGGTGTGTGCAGGCATATGCTGAAGTGATGTGAGTCGGCTGTTCTATGCATAGCTATGCCAGCTTCTACTAGCTAATTGCATTATATTACTAAAACCCCTGTAGGACTAGGGGCCTTTCCTTGACGTGCAGTGTTTGCAGCTAGCTCAGCTCGATCGTACTTGGTTGAGTTCCAAGCAGGCAAAGTAGACACACACCCGGCCTCGTATTAAAAACTGGAGCAACCAGCACGGCCTCTCCTTCCAGCGTCCATGTGTGCGAGCGAGAGAGAGAGAGAGACAGAGAGAGAGAGTCGTTAATTTGTTTATTTCCAAGCTAAAATGGGTTGGGTTGGGGGAGCTTGGCGTGTGGGATGTGATTGTGATGGGGATTTGGTCCAGCGTCGTGCTTGCTTGAGGTGGCGGGCATCCTTGCTTGCTTGCTTGTCCGCACTCAACACCAACGCCGATGCTTAAAAGTCTTCGCTAACCTCGAAAACCCAGCACGGGATGCCTACTACTCATGCATCTCCACTGTTCCTGCTCGTACTACTACCACATTTGTTGCACTACATGTTTTTTCATGTATACAGTAGAGTATATGGCCTGTTGCAACCCAACACAGTAGTTAGGTTGATCAGTGTTCAGGCTTTCAGATTCTGGACCTGGAATTTCAGCTGTGAGCTGAAACCGGACAGATTACGCACTGCGTGTTAGGTTTAGGTGTATGTTCGCGGCTCACTGCACATGCTTCGACGACTGGCGGTCGGTCGGCGCCGCGACGGTGCGTACACCGCACCGTTTTTTTGTTTGTATAAGAGTGACGACGGAATAATGTAGGAGTACTAGCATAGCCGCTCCATTGACTAGAGGAGTTTTGCATGCCGACTGCACAAATCTTGAGGTTTAGCACGTGGTGGTGGCAGCAATACGCGACCTTGTCGATCGTACCACTGTCTGGTGACTGTGCCGGTGGGAGAAAAATGACCGAGATTGAAAAACCGGACTGCTTTTTCCAGACCGATACATAAGTGATGGAGACCGATTTTTTAAACTAATTCGGTCAAGCTTTTCGTGCTACCTGAGTTCAGGTGGTGTTTGGATCAGGGATTTAACTTTAGTCTCTGTATTTAGACATTAATTTAGAGTATTAAATATAGACTACTTACAAAACTAATTACATAAATAAAAGCTAATTTGCGAGACAAATTTTTTAAGCCTAATTAATCAATAATTAGAGAATATTTATTGTAGCATCGCATATGCTAATTATGGATTAATTAGGCTCAATAGATTCGTCTCGTAAATTAGTCCAAAATTATAGATGAGTTTTATTAATAGTTTACGTTTAATATTAATAATTAGTGTCTAAATATTCGATGTGATAAAGACTTAAAAGTTTTAGTCCCATCTAAACAGGGTCTTATTCGGCCATACCTTGGTTAACCAAGATGACTGAATTGCTATTTTATTTGTCCTAATATATAACAACTTAGTATTAAAGTATTAAGTATTAGATAACCTAGCATTACTTCATTCATAGTGCTAGATGGTGTACAATCTAGTGTAGCTGGTTGCTTCTCCCCTGTCACAAAATATAAGAATTTAGGACCAAATGACGTATTCTTAGTGCTACAAATCTAGATAAATACAAGAGTCTAGAATAGGATGATGCATTCTTAATACTATGAATCTGGATGAAATAAGTTCTTGTATTTTGAGACGGAGGGAATTCTGAATAAGATTCGTAGTATTAGGTTGTGACTAATTTAGTATATATGTTGCCATATTTTATGATGGATGAAGTATATTAATATTGGTTACTATTATCTTGTGCTATTTAATGGGTGGCTAATGGGCGGGTGATCGCTGTGGGCGATCACCCCCCCCCCCCAATCCCCCTCCTAACATGCTCCTCTCCCCCCTTTCTCCTCCCCTTCTTCTCTTCCTACTACACCATAAAATTTTAAAAATTAGAAAAATTTATGTATAGAAATACTATATATATATATATATAATTTGAATTTAAATTTAAAATTGAATCGGTTATATAAACTTTGGGTCTATAAACTTTAAATATATAGAAATACCATGTATTAAAAAAATATTTGAATTCAAATTCAAAATTGAATCGGTTATATAAACTTTGGGTCTCTAAACTTTAGGTGTATAAACTTTAGATGTGTAAATTTGGGGTGTACAAACTTTAGGTGCATGAATTTACTAAAACAGGAAAGTAATGCGGTAAAAAAAAAGAAACCACGTGGAGAAGGGGTGATTGCTTGGAGCGATCGATCGTCCATTAGGCTTTTCGCTATTTAATTGCTAAAACATGTATCATATTATTGGGTTGCCAAAATTTTATTGTAATTTCTTTTATTTTGTGATCTCCTAACTTCGGTCATGATCAGAGACCAAACCATACTAACGCTCTATTTGTTTTCGCTTAGGATTATTATAATCTAGATTATTAGTAATAATAAAAAATAAATAGGTAAATTATTATGATAGATTATTGTAATCTGTAAGCCAGATTAGTATAATTGGTAATCTGTTCTAAACATATATTTTTCATATTATTGGGTGGCTAAAGAGTCACTGCCTCTATTCTACTATAATCCATTGAAACAAACTCATAGCTTATTATAATTCAGTTTATAAATCTGGCTAAATAATCTGTATTATAATAATCTTATACGATGAGAAACAAACAGGCCCCTAAGCCAAACCCGAAAACGTCAGATCGATCCGCGCGGTCAGTTAACAGTTAACCCATTCCTTTATCGGGCCACACGGTTTTGGCCTTCTTTTTCATTTTAACAAAATTTTTTTCATGGGCCAGCCCCGGGAGGTACGAAGGACATGATCACATGAGGTCCCCGAAGGGGCATCAGTGCTACTGCTCGGTTAGCCTCGTCAGTTCTGGCAGAATGGTACGCGCGAATTGAACTGGGGCTGAAGCTGGGAGCCTGGGACGACAGGAATTACGCGAATGAAGAGAAAAAAAAAACAGGGGAAACATCGTGGCGTTGCTGCCGCTGCATTGCATCAGCTCGGCCTTCCGAATATTT